TAAATTAACAATAAGTTATTAAGATAACAAAATTAAAATAACCCCCCAAGTTCAGTAATCAAAATAATAATAATAATAAATAGATAAATTTAAAGATTAAAATAATGTTAGGTAAATTACATTTCTGAGTTTATCCTTCTAATTTTAATAATGTTATTAAATGAAGTAATTATACTTTAGAAAATTAACTTAACTAGTTACCCAATAAAATTATGAGAGTAGTAAAACATTTTATACTTTAAAGTTGATATATTTTATGTAATATTTGTAATTTGTATAGTATAAAGACCAAATAGCATATAGGGAAATTAGTAATATTTTGGAGATTTTGTTTATAAAAAAAAAATGAAGGACTAAATATAATTTTAGAACATCAATTTTGTTGAAAAATTTAAATATAAGTTTAAATCTGGAACTAGAAAATTAAACCATAATTTAATATTTTAAAATTTTAAATAAAAAGTAATGTAAATATCTTATGTAGATTTTTTATCCAACATTTTTATATATTAATTTAAGTTAAAAAAGTATACTAGTAATATAAATGTTGTTACCATATCACTTAATTATAAATTACCATGCATAGATGAGATAATCAAATTTATTTTAAAGTTATACCTAAAATATTTTTAATAAAAATAACAAGAATATAAAAATCAAAATGTGTCTTCAAATCCTCGTACTTATAAACTTGTACGAAGCCACTGCGTCGGGAGGAGGTGTGGTAATGTTTGGGTTACACGTGGTAAAACGGTTGTTAGGTAAGAAGGTTGGTGAAAACCACAGTGTGAAACTTTTGAATGGGTAGACAGAAATTTCATTCATTCTAAACCCAGGATTTAACATGTAAATTCATTCAATCTTTGTTTGTTTGCCTGGAGTGATTTTGAGAAAGTGAAAATGGGAGTGTGGAAAAGGAAGAATTTAAAGAAAAATAGAGGTGAAATTAAAGTTGTTTGGATAAATAGAAAGTGAAAGAAAAATTTATGGAAAAGCGTGAGTGATTTGATTGATATGAGATATAAAAATTATAATTTTAATTGATTATTTTAAAAAATTACCATTTTACTTTTGTGTATAAAATAAAGTTCAAATTATTATAAATTTAATTTTTTAATTAATTATCCATATTTTAACCATGATTATATATTTAAAAGAAAAAACAAATTTAAAAGCGTTTGTAAGTGGAAACAAATTTAAAAAATTAATTTTTTTTAAAATAGTTATTAAAAATTATATAAATAAACAATTACAAAATTATGTACATTGCATATCGATAAAAAAATAATTTTGACATATTAAATAAATTATTTGACTAATAATTAAATAATTATAAAATATAAAATAATAATTAATATTGACTAATAATAACAAATAATTATGAAAACTAATAATATAATTGTAAATTATTATTTTAAATAAATATAAAATACAGTGAAAATAGAATAATAATTAAATGAAAAATTCATGTAAACTTAATAGTAAAAATATTTTATTATTTAGTTAAAAATTATATTAATATATATTTTTGGCATATTTTTATATTTTCAACATAAAATATATATATATATATATATATATATATATATATATATATAAGAATTACATGTCATAAATTTTAATTATCAAATAATATTAATTAATACAGACATTAGATATTTGACAAACATTATTAAAATTATAAACCTATGCAGACTAATGCTCTTCAAACAAATAATTATAATGTTATCGATCCTTTGCAGTCAAGTCCTCGAGTTCAGATCATTCAATCACTTCCACCCAAGAACATGAACAACTGGGAGAGACGAAGATGTGAGGGCAAGCCAAAAAGTCGTCTAACATGTGATTCGTGAGTACACAAATGATTATAACACTGAAACATAAGTTGCTCGTCAGTTAGGTTCATGCCGACTAACATGTCCCATATATCTGACTCGGAATGTTGAAATGTTGATGATCGTCTCATCACATTAACTTGCTCATTAATTAAATCATTTCTTCGTTTAATGGCGACCACCTGTCTTTCAGCTATGTCAGATAATCGTTGGGTCAATGTATTACCTTGCCCAAGGTAATCTGTAAATGTGTCGAGCCTCATTGTTAGTTTGTCAAATTGACCTTCCATCACATCAACCATAGGCGTTTTTCTTTTTGTGCCCCGAGATGAAGAGGTTCCACCTGAACCAGTAGACGCAACAGATGGAATTGACTGAGCACCCTCAGCAGGACTGTCGGAACCCATGCGTGGAGATGATCGATAAGTTGTATCAAATCCTTCATCAAAGCCAAAGTGAAATGGTCGCTCCTCTGGTGTGGGGTCCACATCAACGTTCAAGTCGACTGTTGCCCTTCGAGAACTGATATTCATTCGGGACTGACGTGAAGTTCTTGCCATATGTCCACTGGCTCGATCAGCACCCCACAATTCTTCCATCAAATCATAATGCCTTATAGTTGACCGTTTCCATTTAGCTGCAGAAGGCTTTGCCTACAAATTAATGAGAATGGTTAACACTCGTAATTGTTATGTTTTGCTATATCAACAAATGATAATTCATATAATAGTACCTTGATTAGGTCATCTCATACTTCTTACTCAGCCATAAACCGTTTTGTGATATCATCCCAAGCGAATCCACTAAGTCCATGAAACAAATCGTGGACCTCCCGCCATCTATCCTTAAGACTTTTTTGTCGATTTTTAACATTACTTTTAGTTATACCAATTAATCCAGACTGTCTTAGGAATTCAACTATATTATTATATGCTTGGGTTGTCCAACTACCATCAACCCGATTACCCAACCTTGCCTCATGAAGCATAGCAGTCAACAACCGAAAGTCCATGTCATCAGTTCATTTTGTAAACTCGCACACTACAGTTGACGAATTCGGTGCAATATCCTTTCCTCTGTTCATTTTAAACCTATTGGAAAGATAATATATGTAATTACGATACCAACATATAATTATTATAAATAGATAATCGTAATGTAATCGTATTTCAACAATAACAATAGTACATCTTATTAAATATATTATTACATACAAAATCTAATGACTTTGATAATCTATCCACATTTGATTTGCTATAGTATCTCTTAAGTTTGACCCTTCCCTATAATCCTCTTCCCGAACTTGAGTCGACATATTATCCACATCTTGTTCCATCAACTCTCGATCCACTTCAACTAACAGTGATTCATCGTTGTCTATCCCTCGAAGAAAATTGTGTAGAATGCAACATGCTAGAACTATATTCGTCATTGTATCAAATGAATAATGAGGCTCTGTTCCACTAGCTATTATAGGAAATCTTTTCTTCAAAACTCCAAATGTTCTTTCAATTACATTTCTAAGAGACGAATGTCGATAGTTAAACAATTCTCGGGGGTTTTGTGGAGCTCGTCGAGAATACTCTTTAAGGTGGTATCTAATGCCTCGGTAAGGGGTCATTATGTTTGCTTTTAACATAAATCCAGCATCCCCCAAGTAGTATTTACCTATTTAAAATAATTGAAGTTATACTAATTAGAATATTTAAACTAGTTGACTATACACAAAATCCCCACGTTATAAATAATAAACCTTGTGGTATGATAAGACGATCCTCTCTCGTAAGAACATCATTTAATATTCTTAAATCAGATGTTGTTCCTTCCCACCCTGCTAGAACATATGTGAATTTCATGTCGAAATCACAAGCTGCAAATACGTTTTGTGTTGGCCAATCTTTTCTTCCACGAAAACGAGGGGCATCGGATCTTGCGACTTTAACTCGAACATGAGTTCCATCTATTGCCCCTAAACAATCTTAATTGGTAAAAAAATTTATTGTTATTAAAGTTTAGACAATCTATGTGTATGTTATATAGACACAAAGTTGGTAAGTAGATTACCTTAAAGTATGGGTAAAATCGGTTGTTGTTTAATATATACGGACACACATCCCTTCCTAATGGTTGAACAATTAATTGTTCGTCCAACATTATTATCGCATTCAACACGTTATGAAAGTGTCGACTAACAGTTTCACCTGATCGATGGAAAAAAAATGAAACAGTTTGATTTTTAACGTTATGTCCGATAATATGGAGAAATTTAGCCACTTGTTCTTCCACTGTTGATTGTAACCCATCGTTTACTAATCCAGTTGTCCTTACTCGTTGACACAAGTTAATGAATGCCTCCGGTCCCATGCGAATAATGTCACGAGATTGTTCAGTATGAATAAGGTATGACATCAACTCGTGCCGACGACGTTCTTTTTTAGAAATAAAGTCCCTAATGTTACCACTACTACAAGTTACCATAGACAACATATTTTATCCATAAGCTATCAAACAAAGAATTGTCATCGCTCCTACTTCGCTTCGCTTTTTTATCTCACTTTGTATATGTGAAATTATGTTTATATCCAGACCAAGTATCTATATCGTCATTGTCTAAACCAATGACCTCGATGTTTTAGTTCTGCCATCTGCAAAAAAAAAATAATATATATATATATATATATATATATATATATATATATATATAAAATGAATTAATGTTAAATGGAAGTAATTCAAAATTGCCATCTGCAAACTAGTATCACAAAACCAAAAATTATTTACAAAACTACTAATAATTTTTTTCCTCTAATATTTTTACTTCTTTTTTAACAAATTCTCATTTTTTAAAATTTTTTTCTTTTCTCAATTTTACATACTCCATTTATTATAAAAATAATAAATTTATTTTTTAAATATAACTATATTTAACTTTTTTTTCCTTATTTAATTATGCATTAATATTGTCTGTCCTAATTTTTACTAAATTTTTTTCATGTATCTCTCAATTATTTTTTTCTTTTCAGTATATATAAAAAAATTCAAGATTTCCATATAATAATTATAATTGCAAAAACAGGGATTTTGGTTCCAGTTTTTCGTTCCAATTTTTGCTTCCATCATTCCCAGTTTTTGCTTCCAAGATGCATATGCAGTAGCTACCAATTTTTACCTCAACCATGCATGGAGTACAACACCAGTAGAACCAGTTTCAAGTTGCAACCATGGAAAATAACATATGAACCATACCTGTGGGAGAAGATATGAACGAAGCTCTTTGTAGGAGAAGCTGACGGCGAACTTGACGGTGCCCCTAAGATACAGCCTGCAACAACAACATAACCAATGCACAAGTCAGAAACCATGGTCGTATGGTGCACATTTTTTGTTGGAGTGGAGGAGGTTTGACCATGTTTTATACCTCAAATCTAAATGGTCACACACACACTCTTATGCATGCACACAGACTCCAACAACAAACGTACCAACCAAGTTTGAGGTTCCAACCATGACAGAGAAGACACAGAACCATACCTGAGGTGTTCCTCCGACAAGATACCAAGCAAGTTGTTAGTGGGACAAGGTCACACCGAAGTTAATGGCCGCTGGTGAAGATCCAACCTACAACACAAATCCAAGCTTTGGCATATGGAATAGAGTCTTTTAGCTAGTCTTATGAGACTAGCTTTGCTTTATATAATACAATAACTTTCCCTATCAGCTGTAACTAGAGAAGAAAGAATAAGTCTTGTAACTACGGGCTTTGGTTCAAGTTCTATCAGCTGTGAACACGTGAAGTTGGCTGTACAGCCCGTGACCTCTGCATGTATAGCCCGTGACTTCTGTTCATGACTTACCTCCTTCTCTCGTGTTCAGAATATATAATTTTGCAAATAATCGATTACTTCTTCAAATAATCGATTACTTTTACAAATAATCGAGATTTAAGATAGCGGTTCTAGAAATAACCGCTATTACAAATATATATTAGATAGTGGTTAACGTGGAACCGCTATTATATGATCACTTTTAAGAGCGGTTAAAATGTTAACCGCTCTTAAAAGTAACATATGATAGCGGTTCCACGTTCACCGCTATCTAAACTCTCGATTATTTGAAAATATTTTGATGTAAAATTATATATATATATATATATATATATATATATATATATCTAAAATATAATTTATATTAATGACTATAATATAAAATATATATTCCAAAATATAACCTATTTTCATTTATATATATATATATATATATATATATATTACGAAATTAAAATAAATTATATTTTAGAATATATAATTTTTCAAATGATCGATTACTTTTCCAAATGATCGATCACATTTTCAAATAATCGAGATTTTAGATAGCGGTTAACGTGGAACCGTTATTATATGATCACTTTTAAGAGCGGTTAAAATGTTAACCGCTCTTAAAAGTAACATATGATAAGCGGTTCCACGTTAACCGCTATTTAAAATCTCGATTATTTTAAAATATTTTCATGTAAAATATATATATATATATATATATATATATATATATATATATTCTAAAATATAATTTATATTAATTACTAAAATATAAAATATATATTCCAAAATATAACTTATTTTCATTTATATATATATATATATATATATATATATATATATTATAGAAATTAAAATAAATTATATTTTAGAATATATAATTTTTCAAATGATCGATTACTTTTCCAAATGATCGATCACTTTTTCAAATAATCGAGATTTAAACTAGCGGTTAACGTGGAACCGCTATTATATGATCACTTTTAAGAGCGGTTAAAATGTTAACCGCTCTTAAAAGTAACATATGATAAGTGGTTCCACGTTAACCGCTATCTTAAATCTCGATTATTTAAAAATATTTTGATGTAAAATTATATATATATATATATATATATATATATTCTAAAATATAATTTATATTAATGACTATAATATAAAATATATATTCCAAAATATAACTTATTTTCATTTATATATATATTACAGAAATTAAAATAAATTATATTTTAGAATATTTAATTTTTCGAATGATCGATTACTTTTCCGAATAATCGATCACATTTTCAAATAATCGAGATTTTAGATAGCGGTTAACGTGGAACTGCTATTATATGATCACTTTTAAGAGCGGTTAAAATGTTAATCGCTCTTAAAAGTAACATATGATAGCGGTTCCACGTTAACCGCTATCTAAAATCTCGATTATTTTAAAATATTTTCATGTAAAATTATATATATATATATATATATAAATGAAAATATATATATATATATATATATATATATTATAGAAATTAAAATAAATTATATTTTAGAATATATAATTTTTCAAATGATCGATTACTTTTCCAAATTATCGATCACTTTTTCAAATAATCGAGATTTTAGATAGCGGTTAACGTAGAACCGCTATCATATGTTACTTATAAGAGCGGTTAACATTTTAACCGCTCTTAAAAGTGATCATATAATAGCGGTTCCACGTTAACCGCTATTTAAAATCTCGATTATTTTAAAATATTTTCATGTAAAATTATATATATATATATATATATATATATATATATATTCTAAAATATAATTTATATTAATTACTATAATATAAAATATATATTCCAAAATATAACGTATTTTCATTTATATATATATTATAGAAATTAAAATAAATTATATTTTAGAATATATAATTTTTCAAATGATCGATCACTTTTTCAAATAATCGAGATTTTAGATAGCGGTTAACGTGAACCGCTTATTATATGATTACTTTTAAGAGCGGTTAAAATGTTAACCGCTCTTATAAGTAACATATGATAGCGGTTCTACGTTAAACGCTATCTAAAATCTCGATTATTTTAAAATATTTTTCATGTAAAATTATATATATATATATATATATATATATTCAAAAATAATATATATATTAATTACTATAATATAAAATATATATTCCAAAATATAACTTATTTTCATTTATATATATATTATAGAAATTAAAATAAATTATATTTTAGAATATATAATTTTTCAAATGATCTCCTACTTTTTCAAATGATCGATCACTTTTTCAAATTATATATTCTAAAATATAATTTATTTTAATTTCTATAATATATATAAATGAAAATAAGTTATATTTTGAAATATATATTTTATATTATAGTAATTAATATAAATTATATTTTCTCAACTTTTTGCAGAGATTCTTAAGAATCTCTCTACATGCATGCACCAGTGAATCTGCAAAGTTGGACATTTCAATTTGTCCATGGGCTTTCATCTCTTTTCTTTGTGCATCGTCGAAGAACGTCTTTCTCCCATCTCCCACTTTTCCTCACTTTCATTTCGTCGTATTTTTGTCCAACAAAACGTGTGTCATCCTCGTGCTTTTATCTTCGTCAATAGTAGATCAGTGGAAACAAACAAAGGCTAAAAGTGAGATATTTATTTTTCGATACAAATTAGAATTTTTATTTTATTTTTTATTATTTTATAATTTAATAATCAAAATAAATTATTAAATTATACATAATAAAATAATAAAAGATAATAAGTATTTTTTATTTTTTTAAATATTTTTTATTTTTTTAAATTAAAAAACTTATTTTATAACTTTTTTAAACAATTTTTTAAAATTAGTTTTATTTTATAATTTTTAAAAAATTAAAACACTCATTTGATTTTTATTTTTATATATTAACGTTTTATCAGTAATTATATTAAAATATTTTTTTATTATTATAAAATTATTAATTTTTTTTTACCTTTTTAACATTTTTTTACAATTATAGGTGTTATTATTTTAGTTTAAAATAGTTTTTTTATCAAATATTTTTTTAAATTTTTAATTTTTTTAAAAATGAATTTATAATGTTTTTAAATAAAAATAAATCAAACAAGTTCTTAATCAAATCTAAATCTTTAATTACTATTATTAAAATAATACATTTATGTTATTTATTTATTTATCTATACTTAATATATTAAAAAAGTTGCCCGTTTTATAATATGTTGGTGTTATCAAAGAGAAAAAAATAAATACACTATAGTTTAAGGAAAAATAATTATTATAATATATATATTTAAAATAATAAAAATACAAGAAAGAGAAAAAAGATAATATATTTAAAAAGTAAAAAAAAATTATAAAAAATTATGAACTTTAACATCTATCTTTAATTTCTATATTAGATATATTTGTTCATAGTTTTTTTTCTTAATGATAAATTTAGTTTATAACAATATGATAAAATAAATAATTATACAACCTCTTTATGTACAGGATGTTGATCAACAATCACCTCCAGTAATTAAAAAAAAATTCTCATTTTTCATATTTTATCATAAAATTAAATTATTATTTTAAAATTTAAATAAAAAAATATCAAATAATAAATGTTGGGTAGATAGGTGACACCTAGACTAAGAGAGGGTACATCTATCATTTTCATACATAATATTATCATTGTTGTTGAATAATAGTAAAATATTTTTTTAAAATATTATGATTAATATTTATAAAAAATTGAGAGAGTAAAATATTATTTATTTAAAAATTAAAATTTTCAAAATAATTAAATATTTATATTAATATTTTTTAAAGTTTTTTTCTATAATCTATTGATGCACTTAGCAGCCATTGCTCCATCGCAAGGGTCGGGTCAGTACAACCAACCCTTCAATTTGGCACTTTATGCCCTTAACCTTCTTCTTTTCCACAACCACTCTCACATTCATGAACAGTGCAAACAAAACAACAATGTATATGACATCATCGCCATTTTTGTATTCATTTTAATATGATTTCATTTCCAATCATATAGCATAAAATTGCAGGGTCATGGATAATTTAACTTGATATTGTTAAAAGTCTGCAACATTTGTTAAAGGAAAGAAAAAGACACACGTAAGCCATTAACATATAATAATATAAAAAACTTTATGATAATGAGCATATTCAAACTCATTTTATATATTATGGTAGATGTGTTTGAATTGAATAGAAAAAGATTGACCACGAACCATGATTGATTGGCTTTGAATCAACCTACAATTCTTGACTCCCTCCAGAAGATGATGATTCTTGACGAATGAGACTCCTGAAATTGATGTTTCCATGGTCTTTATGTTCTTTGATATATCCTTTCAGATTTTAAGATATAATTTTAATCACATTTACATTGATTCATTTTAAAAATATAAGACTAAAATGATATTAAAATAATAAAATTGTGAGAAAAAAACCTATTTAATCCATACTCTAATTTCTTTTTTGATATTATATATATATATAATTTTTTTGTAACTTTTCCTATTTTATCAACGTTGGACTTTCACTGATTCAAAAAGTTTTCCTTGTCAACAGTCGTTGATTCAAAAAGTTTCCTTTCACATGTCACACAAAAGATTAAAAAAGGCAATTTTTTTGCAGACAGTAGTACAAAAATAATGTCAATTAATTTGAATAGTTTTTTTCATACTGAATATAAATCGAAGGAAGAACTTCAAAGTACATCGCTAGTGTGAGCAAGTAGTTATGTATCTACCATTAAATTTTGGAAAGCAGAGATCATTATGCACTTTAGATTACATGAAGGGTAGGTAACCCTTATTTGTTCACTTCAACAAACTCAATTTATATGAGCCTTATCTATAACACCAACCAAAACTCACTGTACTTTGAAGCTATACAAAGCCAGTATTGTAGGAAAGGCAACAAGGGAAACATGTTGTGTAATTCTTGTTGTGTTCAAAATTTTTAAGGAAATAAGCAAAAAGGGTGAGGGAAGGTTGAGTTATAGACTCTCTTACTACTCAAAATCTCACATCATCTTGATTCGTTTGCAGTTTGAAGTGGAATTACGTATGCCCCTAGTGGTGACCGAATATGGAGCTGATGCTGATTTAAGAGAAGGGGACTTGTCAATAAATGCATGTCGTTCATTGCCATTCCAAAATAAGATTATCCTGTTTGTGCATGAATGTGACCAGCTATCTCCTGTTCAGTGAAGTATAAACAACAAACTTCTTTGATGAAGGGACAAAAAAGATATTGGTCATTCATGTCAAAAGTTCAAGTGAGATGTGCGAGATGAAATAGCACTTACCTAGTGCAAGGGTCAAATGAAATGAACCTTCAATGAACTTGGTTGTAACTTGATTCAACATAACAACCTGCCAGAAAATCACATTTGTAGTTGGAAATCAAGGAGGATGAGAATAAGACCACAAAGCAAAACAAGCACTGGACATTAAGTCAAGCAAGGAAGCAGGACAAATTCCATGGTACAATGCTCATTGGAACAAAAACAAATCCATACAGGCAAAGTATAGATTCTAAGGGACTCTTGGACATGCGACATGATATAGGTGATGATTGAATAACATAATTCAATCACTCCTACCTTATCTCATGCATTAACATGTAACTGTTAATTGTTTTATTTTTTATATTCTCTTGCTTTACTGACTTGGCGTTTAAGTATCTCTGCAAGTATTACACTCGATCTACATAATTGCATCAGATTGATTCAGGTGCTATCATATTAAGTCCAGTAGAAAACACTTCTGGCAAGTAGATGAATTGATTCTTACAGCCAAACAGAACTTTTTTGCTAGCTTCATCAACTTCAAAGCCATTTCACTGAGTAATCGAGTCCTGAGAGCCATATCATCGAAGTCTTGGCGGAAGTGGAAAGTAACACTGTCAACAATGATGATCTTTACCTGGAATTATGAAAGTAAAAACAGATCACAATGGATTAGTTAGGTGTAACAAAACAGTTGGTTAAAAGCAAAAGGACAACGCCATTGTCTACTAATGATGCAAAGTATGAGGTTCAGTATCATCTTCAATATGTTTGCTGAAAAAAAAAAAACTCAATTCAATAGATGAAATACTACACTTACATCTTTATTCTCCATGATGAATTTGTCTAGGTAATTTACCAATGCAATTTGCTCGGTGTAGCTGCAAACACGAAAATAGAATATATTTTCCAAGATATTATTAGGGTGCATTTTAACATCACAAGCTTGAAAATCCTTGTGAAAGTGGTTCCTATATTCTTCCATGTCTTCTATGCATGCTTCAGCAATTTGAAGAACTCGTTCAACCATAAAGCTTCCTTCTGTGTCTGAGTATCACATAGGCACAAGAAGTGCAATGAATGGCCTGCATCAAATGCTGAATGAGTATTAGAATCTTATTGAGGGTCTTACCAATGTATATTGCCTTCCCACCTAGGCCACCGTAGTCTTGTGGAATTTGAACATTTACTGCAAGTTGAATCCTGCAAACATAAACACCACTCAATATTACAAATAACCAAAATATTTCACAATATAGGATGGAAAAGAAACAATAGCAACATGACCAGAAAGTTGGAATGACAAAGAATACCCAATTTGTGTTTTACCAATGCCTGGAACTCCACCTACATAAAGAAAGAACGAATTATATTGCAATCAGAAAAGGGAAGAAAGAAAGCAAACTGCAAGGTATATCATGCATGCCACAGAACAAGTAATGTATAAGCTAGTTTGTAAAGATTAAAAAAAAATGATTCTGGTAGTGATTATCTTTTAGAGATTTTTAAAAATGAATAAGTTAATTCATGTTTATTTTCGATCAGAAAAAAACACCTTTTCTAAAAGAGGTAATAGATTTATGATAAGTTATGAAACTTATGATTATAATCAAATTTTTTATTCTATCAGCTTCTGATTATTATGAAAACTGTAACAAAACATAAGAAACTAAAAAGGGTGGTTTATTTTTTTAAGACAAGTGATTCTTTGGTGAAAAAAGCGTTAATAATCACTATTATGGATTTCATAGTCTTCAGAGAAGCCAAACCTATTTCAGTGACGTCTTTGCACTTAATTCCTCCACCAAGGATGTTATCCAGATCCACACAAGATGTGGTAATGTAAGAAGAAAACTTCTCATCATTGAGCATATCCCAGGCAGTCCGACCACCTGCCTGACACAAAAACACAAAGGAGAAAAGAAATTAAAAAAAAAAAAAAGATATAGGGAATCATGCTCTGTCAGATATACTGGACTGAATTCAATTCGTATAATACAAAATAAAATAATACATCAATCATATGAGAATATAAGATATCAAGTAATACCAAAGCACATTTTGCCAAATAAATAGAATGTTTATTTACTTTTTCATTGAGCATGGCCACTTGATGGCTCTTTGATTTCCCTCCATTAAATAATCTTCCCATACTCAAAAAGGGATATTTCTTCAAATGAGATGATATCTACATTATTGTGTAGGAAACCATTGGCTCATCATGATAGGTTGTATATTCAATAACAGTACCCTTGATAATTTATCTGTAGAACTCCCCCATCAGCACTATTTACTTGGTAGGAGGATCCTAATCATATTAATTATTGCTCCTAGCTTCTATGTTTTCCCAAATTCCATAAAATTGATTTCTAAGACACATCACATCCCAGCTTGAACAAACTTGATATCATAAATTGAAAATTCTTTTGGTATAACAAAACCTGTCCCACTAGGAGGTCGGTTATGTGAATCATACGACACTAGAATCACACATAATCGATTTGATGAGAGCTTTTCCACTCCTTAACCGATTCAAACATTACCTCTAACACAAATTCACGAGCAAAGGGTGATCATATCCAAATCCAATGTATCCCACATCGTCACTTCACCAGTTCACATCCAAAGTCATGGGAATGAAAGGGGTAAGCAAAGATGGAGAGGTCTTTTAGAAAGAACATGCACCATTTATACATAACATAAAAGTAAACAATTATTATTATTACTCAAAAGAACAACTAAACAGGCTTGTAGAAATTAACACAACAAATACCACCAACAACAGTAGTGTGTGTCTCATTTGGTTTCTCCGAAGCACTAGCTTTGGCTGCAAGATTTAGAATTTCCGAGGCTTCATTATCAGAAACTTCAATGTCTGTGAAAGAGAGATAAAGGGTAGGTGAAAAAAGAGGAAAATTTCAACATATACGCATACCCAGTTGAAAAATGAAAGAAGGGTTAAGAATTGAATTTGAAAGGAAAACCTCGAGCAAGGTGGGAGGGGGAGGCACGAGCAATGGCATCGAGAGTGGTGTAACCAGCAGCCAAGAGTTTTCCTCTCTTGGAAGCCGAGATTGGAAGCATACCCACTTCCATGCTTCCCACTCTCACTCTTTCCCTTCCGCCATTTTCTTCTTCTTTGGGCAAATTCTCACTTTTTCTGATCACAGAAACGTCAATATTCAATCAAAATTAACATTGAGGTTGGCTCATGGATGGAGCTGAAACTCATCGAACCGCTGAAGTGATTTGAATACAGAAATTCAAAATTAAACAGAAAACACCAAAAAAAGAAAAAAAATAAAAAGTAATTTTTGATCCGATGTTTTGTTTTTGTTTAAAACTAAATCGGACTGTAATAAATTCATAATTAAATTCTTATTTTACTTTTGGAAATTAGTTTATTGTATATTTTTATTTTTTAAATTAGTTTTTAAACAAATTATAATGAGATTTTATAATTTGAAAAAGTTTTTTATATTTATTATATATATTCGAATTTTTTTTTACAGTTTGTTCTATAAATAAAACAACTAGTCATTGAAGACTATCTTAAAGGAGATCGTTTCTGTTTCAATTTTTTATTTCTAAAGAAAAACATTTTCAATATTTAGAAGAAAGTTATTTTATTTTTCAAAAAATATATATATATATATATATATATATATATATATATATTTTAATTCTTATGCTTTCAAATTAATACATTTAATCTTCAAACTTTTATAAATGTGTAACTATAATTTTTTTATTATCATAAAGTTCATAAACAGTATGAATTTAGTTATTTTTTATCATAAATTTAATATTTAGTATAATAAAATAAATAAGTTTATTTTATGTATTTTAAAAAATTAGAAATGAAAGATTGCAACTTTGAAGTGAGAAAGAAATGAGAAATGAAGGGGTAAAAAGAGAGTCTAACATTATATCAATCCTTTAAAAACCATTTTTTTATTTAGTTAAATAAATTAGGGTAACTACCCATAAAATTGAACATTAATGGAAAACTACTTAGTTTTTTCAGCATATTGACAAGAGCTTAACATTTTAATCATTTCAGTCTATGCCTTAAAGATGAAAGAAATCGGTTCAATCAAATTCTGATCATACAACTAACTATTTACGCATGCAATTTGATGGCATCAAAATTCAAAAGGTCAATTAGATTATGATTTCCAACTTATGGTTAACAAGTATTTTTTTTAATAACTTTTATTCAAGCTAAGTCCCTAGATTTCTCTAATCATTTTAAATAATTCTTTTTATTTAAATTTTCTCCTTTTTACAACTTTCTTTCTTAAATAATATTTTATTGAAAATGTATATTCTTGAATACTAATATACTAATAAATTATCTTTAAAAACCAATTTTTATATTTAACTTTTATTTAAAATAGACTCTTTACATTATTTTTAAAATATATTTTAGTATAAATATATATATACAAAATTGTATTTTAATAATAATAAATTATTATATATATAATTAAAAAAATGTAAAATATAAAAAATATATTCAAAATTTGTATTTTAGTTTATTTCAATTTGAAACTAAATATGGTAAACTGATTTAAAAAATCATCTAGGTTTTTTTTTCTTTAACAAATTAATAGATAAATCTGATGCATATTTAGACCCGTTTAATTATGAGAAATATTTGTATTGCTCAGTTGTAAAAATCTGTTGTTCTATAAACTAGAATTAACTCATATACATTTTAAAATTTTAAATGTAAAGAAATTATATAAAAAGAGTTTCTACAAAGTAGTTTTACCTATATATTAATTTTAGCTTATACAGGACCTAATTTCAATTTTTTTTAAGAAAAAATTTGTCCAAACAAATCCTAATAAACATATATTATATTCAATATTCTAACAGATGGCAAGTTTTAAACTAACATTAACAGTTTGTACCATTTTGGCCTAGAGATTAATTGGATCTTGAACAATTGTCAAACTAAGGTAGGGAGGGTATTGAAAGTAAAGAGAAGTTTGATCAAATGGAAGATAATTTAATTAAATGGAATAAAAAACAAAACAAAAACAAAAATTAGAAGAAACCACTGAGAATGACATTGCTGAAAGTGGTTTTTATTGAAAACTTAGTTTTTCATGATGTTTACTGGTGTCAATTGATCCATATAGAGGACCTAAGCTAATAAGGTAGAATTGGTTGTTGTATCTGTAAGCATTCTGAATGCCATGGCAATGCAAAAATTCAAGTTGTCAGGAGAAAACATCCAAGTATCAGAAAATCATTTGCGTCCTCATTCAACACTTGTCACTATTGGTGCCTCTCCAATATGAAAGTAGACGAATTTGTGTAAGCAAGGAACCTATGAACCCAGAAACAGATTGGTCTGGTTCATCCCCTACAGTATCAACATCCCGCCAGAACTTGATAATATGGAGACTTTCTTCCTCTGTGGATCTTTGGACAACAATCTTAGAAGCATATCCTTTCTTTCTCATTTGTTGGCATATCTCAGAAGGATTGTTTGCTGTGAGGGTGACCAAGTATAGCCATCCCTTTTCTGACAAAAGACGGTCTGCCACGGGCAAAATTTTATCGATTACACTCCGGCCATTCTCCCCCCCAGCCCAAGAGGAGGTAATACCTTCCACACCTACTTCATCTTCAGGGGTAGGCACATAAGGAGGGTTCACAACCATCACATCAACCAACCCTGCCAGACGCTGCTCTAGTCCCGCTGCAATATCTGTTACTATCAACTCAGCACCAACACCATGTGCTTCCATGGTCTCACGGGTCACCTCCACTGCATGTGGGTTGATATCAGTGGCGATATAATTGACACCAGAAGCTTCCTGCCCCAGAATAAGAGCAAGGGAAGTAATGACATATCCACTACCACAGCCTATCTCCATGCACAATGATGGATGATGTTCCTGCAGGTTATTGCGATCAGCTAGAAGAGCATCAACCAGTGCAAAAGAATCATCACATGGTTCATAAACCTCCTGGTGGGAACTCACAAGGCGAATTTGAGCAGTTCTTGGTAACTGTTTGTGTGAAGCCTGTCATTGAAAAGATAGCTGTCAGTAAGCCTCAATAGTTCAATCAATTCACAAGTAAAAAGGGTCGGCGGATGTAGCAGCAACAAAGACTTTGTCCACCATACCATTTTCAGTTGTTTACTTTGGCCGTGAGACGCGGATGACCTTTATTGAATCCAGCTCTGACTTGCTCTGGTCAATTTCAAGACAATTTACAACATCAGCTTCCTTCCAACTCCTCCTGAAACAGAAACGGCAGAATAATTGAGTTGTTGATATTAAATATTAAAAAGAAAAGTAACAAGCAGCCACTGGAAATGATAAACTAAAAATGATCAATGCAGGGAAGCAAAAATGAGTAGATACATGTGAATCATGTCTGGAAGCAATATATTAACCAACAGGCAGAAACAGAAAGTGTCAGCGTTTGGATTTTGACAAATGTTTTAAACAAATATTCTTTTTGTCTTGGAAGCAGTATATTGATCAGATAAAATCATATGCTGTCAGATGCAAGCATGATTCGAATAATATACAAGTGCAAAGAATTTTATATATAAGTATTCAAAATCTATTTAACTTGACCTCTTCATCCAGTAGAATCAAGACATGAAGTTATTTAACGTAGGAGTTCGACACCCGAATCTAGGCAAGTATTCTCCAAAATGCACATGACATCATTGGACTCATCGTTCTAACTAATGATTACCATAACTGGTTCTAGTTCTGTGCCATATGATTGTTTAATGACATGGAGAATCATAACAATTAGTTTTGAACAAACTTATAATAGAAATCATATTAGTAGATCAATTATTGATCATGTTAAAGATTTGACATGTTAACAGATAACAATCAAGCCATGAGTTGAGTAGGAGAACAAGTAAAAATAACATGATAATCCAACATATTAAAATCATATTCCACAGTGTTTAATCTCCACAGCAACACAAATAGAGCTTGGACATTTCACACTTTTCTTTTGTGATAATGTCTTTATCAAAGTAGGATGCTTAATGAAAGAAAAGAAAAAGGCGAAATCATGCAACTTCATACACTAGGAGAGACTGAATCCAATGCATTCATAAACATGGTCCTGTTAGCAATGTATAACATTTGACACAATTTAGTAGAATGGCTGGTGTCTTTAACATGATGCCAGCAGTTTGAACAAAGCATCCGTACAGGTGAAGAGAATACAGTGAACATGTGGGTGGCTAACAAAGAATATTTAATGATATACGTAACAAATTGATATGAATCACAAGGGGTAATTTAGGATCTTTAGGATTAGAATCTTGTAAGAAATTTAGGAATTAAAAAGAAGGTGGAAGGAAAGAATCACTCTTCCCAAGGGAGGCAACACACAAAGGAGGTGAAAATTCTTTGATATAGCCAAAAGTTCTTGAATCATTCAAGAATTTAGGAGAATCACTCTCACTAAGATAAAAGAGATAAACTCTAATATGTCTGAATAAAATTTCACTTGTTATTTCTTGATAAAAATGGTTCAGCTGATATAGAAGCGTTGCCATCAGAATTACAAAAACTCAATAAAAGAAAATAAATACTAATAATAACCCATTAATCTAGGAATTGAAAACTATTTAATGAAAACAAATAAAGACTAATAATGATCCATTAACCTAGGAATTGAAACTACTTAATGACCGATTGTATCCGAAACCGTGACAACCAAAAGTCAATCGGCTATGCACCCCTTGGTCTCCCAAAGGCTGATGACTAAATTTTCAATTGGGCCCTTATTACAACTTAAAACAAAATCAAACTAAAGCCCATTAATTGATTAATTCAAAACATAATTTGGTCAATCAACAATATTTGTTGAAGAGCTTCCTTTATTTCTCTTGCTCTAGTCCTTATCATAGGTCATGTTCACATCATTCTCTCCCTCTTGAAAAGAATTTGTCCTCAAATCGGATTCGCCATCTACATAAAAAAGAGATAAGTCTGACAAATTGAATGTAAAATTAATATTATACTCACTTTTTATGGCTAAATAGTTCTCCCTCACATCAAGTGTTTCACTCTTCTTTTGATCACTTTTTTTCCTCTCAAGTGTTTCACTAACACTTCCTTTCTCTCTCTTTTCTTGAAGAAGTTTTTCTTTCATTTTCTTTTTATCCTCACACACTTCTTGTGGACTCAAAGGTTTGAGCACAATCTTCTTGTCTTGGTGCATGAAAGAGATCTTGTTGGTGAACCCATTATGATTAACTCTTTTATCAAATTGTCATGGTCTCCCCAAAAGTAAGTGACTGACTTGCATAAGAATAATATCACAAAGTACCTTATCATTGTATTTTTCAATGGAAATGTCCACTTCAACTTATTGTCTCACTTGCACCTCTTCATCCTTACTAAGCCATTGAAGTTTATAAGACCTAGGATGTGGTTTAGTAGATAAATTTAGCTTTGACACTAATCTAGCACTAGCCACATTGGTGCAACTACCTCCATCTATGATCATCATGCACACTTTGTCATTGATTAAACATCTAGTGTGAAAAATATTTTTTCTCTGACTTTCTTCCATAGGTTTCAATTGGCTATCAAGTAATCGCCTAATCATCAATAAATCTTCCTTTGGAATTTCCTCCTCCTCAATGTCTTCACTCTTTTCCCCTTCTTCAACCTCAGATTCACTTATATATTCTCCCTCTCTAAGAACCATGGTCTTTGTGTTAGGACACTCATAAGCATAGTGTCCTAGGCCTTGACACTTGAAACACTTCACATCTCTACTTTTTTTAAAGGGTTGTTCTTCATATTTTGAATAAGTCTTTGTAGGAATAAGTGTGGAACTATTAGAAGTAACATTCCCATCTTTCTTGCCTTTGTCCTTCCAACTTGAAAATCCAAAATTGGTAGAACTCTTCTTAGTCACTTCTTTTCTTTTAAGTTGTTGCTCCACTCGAATTGCTTTATGAAGTAAATCCTCCATATCAACAAACTCCTACAACTCAACAATATCACATATATCAATATTCAAACCACCAATAAATCGGGTCATAGTTACTTCTTCATTTTCTTCAATCTTTGCTTGAATCATGAACATGTCCATTTCTTTGAAATACTCCTCAACCCCCTTGTTGCCTTGAGTAAGTTTTTGGAGTTTAAATTTGAAGTCTCTTGCATAACTAGCCGGCACATGCCGCTTCCTCATGATCCTTTTCATCTCAGTCCATGTATCAACCATTGGTTCTTCATTTCTATCTCTCTCCTTTTGTAGCTTGTTCCACCAAATAAGAGCATAGTCAGAAAATTCTGTTGTTGCAAGTCTCACCTTTTAGGTCTCCTCATAATTGTTGCATGAGAAAACATGCTCTATTTTCATCTCCCACTCCAAGTATGCCTCTAGATCACTTTTTCCTTTGAACGGAAGAATGTTAAGCTTGACTCCTTCAAGCCTACTTGGTCTTGTTACTCCATCATTTATTCTCCTATTTCTCCTTTCTTCTTCGTCTCCAGGATTTCTATTCTCCAACCGGTTCAATCTTTCATGGAGCTCATTATTATGTCGTATCATTAATCCTTCCAAATGTTGTACCAATACTCTCATTTGAAATGGACTAATTTCTGCTTCTTGATTGTAATTTTCTTCTTCTGCCATCAATTTGATGTTTAAACCCTTAAACCAGAGCTTTAGTACCAAATTATATGAATCACAAGGGATAATTTAGGATCTTTAGGGTTATAACCTTGTAAGAAATTTAGGAATTAGAAAAAAGATGGAAGAAAAGAATCACTCTTCCCAAGGGAGGCAACACACAAAGGATGTGAAAGTCCTTTGATACAGCCAAGGGTTCTTAGATCACTCAAGAATTTAGGAGAATCACTTTCACTAAGATAAAAGAGATAAACTCTAATATTTATGAATAAAATTCCACTTGTTATTTTTTGATAAAAATGATTCAGCTGATATAGAAGCGTTGCCATCAGAATTACAAAGACTCAATAAAAGAAATTAAATACTAATAATAACTCATTAATCTAGGAATTGAAAACTATTTAACGGAAACAAATAAAGACTAATAATGATCCATTAACCTAGGAATTGAAACTACTTAATGACTGATTGTATATGAAACTGTGGTAACCAAAAGTCAATCAGCTATGCACCCCTTGGTCTCCCAAAGACTAATGACTAAATTTTCAATTGGGTCCTTATTACAATTTAAAACAAAATCAAACTAAAGCCCATTAATTGATTAATTCAAAACATAATTTGGTTAACCAACAATATTTGTTGGAAAATTTTCTTTATTTCCCTTGTTCTAGCCCCTGCTCTAGCCCTTATCATAAGTCATGTTCACGTCACAAATATTCAAGTTTTACAAATAAGACACAGAAGTAGAGCAGCAAATAATACGCAGATACCAACTATGTATCCCTCTATAAAAAATTATAAGTTACATGAAGAGGCATAAGAAGATTGAAATCGGTAAAAATGATGCATGACACGAGAAATATGTCGTCATTTTTATTTACTATATTTTCTAAGGTAGGATGCCCTTGAAAAAAATGAAAAATAGGTACAGGCTATCCAGGGAAGAGTGTAATTAAATGAGGAGAAATAGAGCAAACAGACTAACAAGTTTAGACAAAAAAAGAAAAAACATCCATTCAGTATAAAAATGAAACTGCGAGAACGAGTTTTCTACCTAGAAAGACTGCATTTCAGCAAGAGAATGTATCCAGCAAGCATACCCTTGAACCCTAGATATTGCAAAAAAAAAAAAAAAAATTAATACCAGGGCAGATAGCTTCAATGCTGTAAAGAAGAATAAATCAACCCTAATCCACAAGCAAAAACCAACAAAATTCTATAGCAACCCCGTGTCACAAGAAATTTCCAGAAAATTTTTTTTTTTTCTGGTGTCTCTATCACAATACAAAACCCCAAATTATGGAGAAAAAACAAACGAAAGTAAATCTTGGAGAAGAGAACATGCGGGCACAAAAGAAAGAAGCTTAAACAAGCAAAAGAAAAAACAGATCTGGGATTTGATTTGGGTTACCTTGTTGGGGATTTGAAGAGTGAAGTTGAAGTGGTTGTTGTTCAGTTAAGTGAAAGTGTGTTGATTACGAACAAATCCCCATGCGA